GTACTTAAAATCAACAATAAAATGAAAATTCCATTGTGTTGGTTTAAATAAGAATGACCCCATAGGCTCATACATTTGAAAGCTTAGTCATCAGGAAGTATGCTACTCAGAAGTATTAGGAAATATGGCCTGTTGGAAGAAGTGTGTCATGGGTGATGGGTTTTGGGGTTTCAGAAGCTCAAGATAGGCCAAACGGCTCTCTCTCCTCTCTTTCTTCCTGCTGTCTTTGTATCCCATTGTAGAACTCTCAGCTACCATGTCTGTCTGTGTGTTGCCAGGCTTCTTCCCATGGTGATAGTGGACTAAAACTCTGCACTGTAAGCCTGCCCCAATGAAATGTTTTCCTTTGTAAGAGTTGCTGTGGTCTGGTATCTCTTCACAGCAACAGAGAACTGACTAAGACACCATATATCTGAAAATATGGTGAAGCTTTGTACCAGTGAGAAACCATGCTATGAGTGAGAGAAGTTCAAATTCGGCATTCATTCTAGAGATACAAATTAAAAAGCAGAATAAGATTCTGTTACCTAGTCCTTCTGATCCTCCTTGGTCTATCCTGGAAATGCCAGCCCCGGATTTCTACTAATATTCAAACTGTGCTGAGCCTGACAATGGTTGTAAAACCATGAAATATGAGAAAGAAGCAAAGCAATTTGAGAAGTCTCTTGTCGTGAACTACGAAATGAAATGGCAGTTACCTTTTAAAGAGTGAAGAGAGGGAGGGGGCAGGAAATGAATGACAAAGGCAGAGTGGCTGCCTGAGAGGATGCTGTGATGAGAGGGTGAAGGCAGAGGGCTGGACCTACCTTTACTAGAGCATTCAATTAGGGAGGGGCATCTGAGGAAACAGAGTGAAGAGTGAGATGGTAAACTGGGCAGGTTTTGGGAGAAGAACAATTACAAAGTCCATGAGCCAGATAGAATGGAGGAAGAGAGAGAATGCATGACCGGAAGTGACACACACAATGGAGCCAAGAGAGTAAAACAGGAAGCCTTGAGCCAGAATAGGAAGGGGCAGTGATGGGACTGGAGTTACCGTTAGTGGATATGTGCTGTGCTCTGTGTGTGTGCTGTGCTGTGTGTGTGTGTGTGTGTGTGTGTGTGTGTGTGTGTGTGTGTGTATGTGTCCTGTGCGTGTGAGTATGAGTATGTGCTGTGTAAGTGTGAATGTGGGTGTGAGTGTAAGTGTGTACATGTGCACAAATGATGGGGACTTTAAAGAAGGAAGCCCAGCCGTGAGGGAGATTGCTGCAGGGGAAGGCAAGGGGAAAGCGACAGCCCACTTGTGATATCAAATATTAAACTTTTTAGTATCTAAACTTTTGACACATTTTGAAATTTTCCTGCATGAGCGTTGTGTTTATACAGAGTTGAGCCTTCTTTTCCCCTCTGGTCTTCTCTCATGTTCTCTCCCACTTGTCTCTGTGAGCGCTTCCTTATCTAGTGTTACATATGTGTGAACACATCCGTTTGGGATCTGATGCTCTATCAGGAGGATCATCCCTGTAGAAGACTGGGTCGTCTTCGCTTAGCAACTGCTAAGTGCCTGAAGCTCCTCATCTAGGTGTGGGGCCCTGTGAGATTTTCACACTTGCCGCGCATGTTGGGATACCAACTGGATATAACATCAAGACGGGCTGTTATGAAGATTCTACAAGTGTAGCTTTCTGACATATCTGGAAAACGCTGTCTCATAGCAGATGTCCTGGTCCTCTGACTCTTACAGTCTTTCTGTGCTCTCTTCTGTGTTTCCTGAGCCTTCGGGGAGGGTCGTGGTATAGATGGATAACTGGGAATTGGCTCTCCGCAGCAGTACCTGACGGCCATCTAGCTGAACTGAAGAGCCTCTCCTTAAGAGGGAGTCCATGGCTGCAAACCTAGCCAACAGCTGTGGCTGCTGAGGCCATGGGCCCTTAGGGAGAACCTACTGTTGTCACATTCCTTACGCAATATAATTCCCAGCTGCATTCTAAACGCCCATCCTTCTATCCCTAGACAAGTGTACTGTCAGCCCTCAGAGCTGGAATTTACACTCCATCTACTTGTTTACGAATTTGACATTTGTCTACTCTTGTACATACTGTGTTTTACTTCATATATTTTCTTCCTTGTTATGTATATTCTCAAATATATATATATATATATATATTCAAATATATCTCTGTACACATAATCACTGAATGTATTTGCTGACACTTGTTCCACTAGCCTAGAGCAGAAGCCACTAAATTTTGATTTCTTAAATATTTCCCAAATGAATGTGTAAATTTAGAGATAGGACACACACTCTATGATTTCGCATCTCTGGATACAGATATTGAAATTTGGCTCATTTCTTCTCTGCCTTGCCTTGGAAAGTGCTGATCTCCCTTTTATAGAGTAGGCAGTGGTATTCACCCCGTTGCCTGCTCAAGTCGGGACTGTAGTTTCACACAGTTGTCTACAGCGACGCTTTCGGCACTCTTGTTTGGCAGAGGTCCACAAGTTTTCTTCCTCTCGGACCAAAGATGGAAACACATTTGTGAGACAGAGGGGAGTGAGGGGACAGGGACTCTGCAGCCCAGCTGCAATCAAACCCTCTACTCTCACAAGGGACCTCATATCTGCTTTCATTCCTTTGGCCAAGGGATGTCACATGGTGGAGCCTAAGTCAGTACTGTAAATATGTGACTTTCTTTGGGGAAAAGAGGGTGTTAATTATTTTTGAATAATTGTGCATTTAACCATTCTATCTCATTGTAAATTCAATAACATTTTCTTTATTTCATACATTCATCAAATTGTTATTATGTTTATATTTACATATATTTATTTGTGAGTTTTGTTCATTTAAATAATTGATTATACAAAGTAGGCATTTGCCTCCAATGCTAGGAATTGTCTATCTGGATAGTTATAGTAGTCTAATTATTAAGAACATGCTTCAATAGAGTTGTAAGTTTTCAGTTTCCTCCTGGAGTGTCGGAGAAAGAAAATCATTTTCTCTTTATCTTGGCAACATTGAGAAAAAAGATGTTAAGATTGAGCGAGATGTAGCTGACATCAAGATGCCCTTTCCTGCATTACGTTTCCCTTCATGGGAGAAACTTTCCACTCTGTACAGATTTATATATCTCTTGGTCTAAAAGACATTTCTTTGTTCTGGAAGGCTTGCAGATCAATGAGTTTGGGGAAACACATGCATTTGCACACTTTTTGAATGATGTGTGATAATTAAAATATTCCCGAATGCGTCTTAAATATTTAAATATTTCCATAATCCTTGGGTGCTTTTTCATTCACCAGATTTCTCAAGTTACAGCCAACAGTGGTGTCCTCAGATGGAATACTGCTTCTCCCTCCCTCCCTCATATTCTGGCTCCTTTTGTCTCTGCTGGTGTTCTGGACATGCCATTTGTCCATTAGTAGAGAGGCAGAGCAGCCTTCATTTCTTCAATTACAGCTATTTTTCTTCAATGTCTTTGAGCTATCTAGCTTAAAAGCTATAGTTTTCATCATAGTATTTGAGAGCAAAGAGAAGATCAAAAACTGCTGGTCAGGCTGAACCTCCCATCTCCCTTCTCCTCACGTAAAATCTCAATATATTTATAAAACTCTGCTATGCTCTGTGTTAGAGTAGAGTGGGAAGATGGACCAGATGTGATGTCTGAGACAGTTGCACTGAACCAAAGCTCAGCCCCTTTCAGCTAGACAGCCTAGAGTACGTAGAGTCATCTGAGAAGTGTGTCTCAGTTGAGGGATTTGCCAGATCACACTGACCAGTGAGCATATCTGTAGGTGGCAGACAAGATTGCCTTGGTGGTTAATTGATGTCAGAGGACCCAGGTCAGGGTGGTGTCACCAATCCCTGGGCAGGTGGTCATGGGCTGCCTAAGGAAGCTAATCACGCAAGAGTCTGGAGATGAGGCACCAAGCAGCTTCTTCATTGTTCTGCTCTAAACACCTCCTCTTGACTGGGTTCCTAGCATGACTTCCCTCATTGATGGATTAAAACCTGTAAAGTCAACAAATGCTCCCCCTCTTAAGTTGCTTTTGGTCATGGTGTTTAGTGTTTGTCATAGCAACAGAATGAAACTAAGCCTATCACATGCAGATCCTCCGTCATTAGCCCAGCTTAAAGAGAGATTTTTCAAGTATTTGTAATCCTGGCCTATTGTGTATTACTGCTCACATGAGAACTCATTCATTTTTTATTATTGTGTTTTAGCTTTTGTTTGATCTTCAGGTATGCTCTTGATCACTTCATTCTTACAGTCTGCTCTGCTAATTTTGTATTTCCAATGGGAAGTCCTAGAGCAGACCATGACTTGAAAACGCCACTGCCAGTTTCAGCACCTTAAGTGAAAACCCTCTGCCTAGGAAGCTCCCACACTTGTGCTGTGCAGGTGATGACCCAGGGCGGGAGATGGGTCCTCCCAGTGTCTGTGAGAGGAACACTGCCAATCAGTGTCTACAAGAGACAAGAGTATTGAACGGTGGCTGTGTGGTCTGAAGAGTGGAGGCCCTGCAAGTCTGAAGGCTGCCTCTATTCACCAACTCAGCTCCAACAGGCCAGCTCAGCCAGGTCTTTTTGTCTCAGCATCTATTGCTGGATTTATTCTTTCATTTTCATAGTATTTAAACAATGCCCTTTGGTTTTTTTTTAATATGTCAAAAACTCATTTATTTTTAGGACCATCTGGTAATATTTTCAAACTGATAGGATTAACTATCCAATTTGGGGGTTTACAACATGTCTTTTCAGGTGGGTAATTTTTGGACACATTTAAACTTCATTTTATATTGATCAACAGGAGGATAACATAATTTCCAAGTTCTACTTAGCCTTTAACACGGGACATATTTAAGCCAATTGGCTAGGGCCATCCAAGCACACTGCTGTGCATAATTTCCTTACTGTGTTCATTGCTTCATAAATAACAATGTAAGTAAAGATATACTTATCAGAAAGAATCAATGAAGCGGCAGCCCTGACTAACTGACGTCATTTGCATCTCCAGGCGTCAAGGCCAGCTTCCGGACAAAGGTTCCTGACGGACTGATCACCCTCGCAGTGTCCCCTGACAACCAAGAAGAGTATTTTGCCCTTCAGTTGAAGGATGGACGTCCTTATTTCCTTTATAACCCCCAGGTAAATTACTAGCCATCACAGTTGACAATTTTGACAATGGCCAATGGATGCCAGATACTGAGGTGAGAGAAGAGATGTGCCTGGTGAATCCTCCTCCGAAGGTTTTCAGCAGAAGTTCTGCTGTCTTTATCTCTCAATCAGTAGTCTTCAACCTTCCTAATGCTGCACCCTTTCATACAGTTCCTCAAGCTATGGTGACCCGCAACTGTAAAATTATTTCATAGCTACTTTGTAACTGTAATTTTGCTACTATTACAAATTCTTCTATAAATAATCGGATATGTACAATATCTGATAGTCAACCTACCAAGGGGCCGTGACCCACAAGTTGAGAACCATGGATCTGCATCTACCAGTGAGGAAAATGAGCCTTACAAAAAAGAAATGACAACCCACAGCCAAAATGTCAGAGCTCTCTTACAACCCCATCTATTCTACAAAGCTACGTGCTTAAGATTTGTATGCTACCTTATGAAGGTTTAAACTGTAGAGTTGTGCATGTTGTGGTCCTGGAAGCCTGGCCTTCCATGGCTGGGGCTTGAGAATTGCAGTGAGAGATAGCCTTGGTACATAGTGAATTCGGGTCAACCTCAGCCCCAGGTTAGGACCATGTCACAAAATATGTCAAAAAATTGTTTAAGTAAATCTGAGCAGATTTACTTCTCCCCCCCACCTTTTTTAACAAAACAATCACACAACATTTATTGTCACCTGATAAAAACATAAGAGCCAGTAAAACAATATGAGTAACTGTTTTAGACCATTCTCCTAGCAGAAGACACCTTTAAAAACACTGAACGGCCTTCTCGACATCTCCCATGCTTGGCTGTTTCTAGTTGGGAACACTTTAGAGGAGAGGAATATTATCTCCTTTTAGTACGATCTAACTCAGGTGTTTTCTTGACTTTATTTTAGAATGAATCTCTTCTGCATCATCTAATATGAGATTCATATACTCATCAAAGCCAGTAACACAGCCCTCTGTCCTCATACTAACATGCTCACACAGCCATAGCTGAATGAGAGATCTATTCTGCAAGCATCTGAAGATGAGGCCGTGGGTGGCAGCATCCTCTACTGCAGCTTCTGGCCTTGGCCACGATACACCATGGTGGAAGTCACCTACGTTTATTCTTTCTTCAGAGAGTAAATTATGGCTTCGTTTTCTCTTGTGCCTGTGTTCTTCCCTCTTTCCTTTTTTTCATTCTTAACTACCAGCAAACATTTAAGTGGCTTTAAAGTATGATAAACTCTATGTTTCAGATGCCAGTAGTTTTAAAGTTGGCTATAATTGTTGCCCTGGGAAACAACCTAAAAAGTAGGCAGTCAATAATTAATTTAAACTATTTTGTGACTATTTAGAAAGAGATGCCTGAGGTCACATGAGCATAAAATGAAAGGTGTTTTGGCCTGAGCTGTCAGTCTTCGCAAGTATCATGCTGAATTGTCACTTTTTGGGTGCGACTTTTCCTTGGAGGTTGTGAACGAATGTGTTTGCCCTCAGAAACGACACCAATGACAGACCCAAGAAATGGTCTGCAAGTTTGGCTGGACCAACCAGTGAGTCTCTTGGGGTTATTTAAAGGGGGCATAGACGATGTTCAGCCAGCTACATCTCCTCCTGAGGATGGGATGGGATTCACTAAAGCCGAATCTGTGGGAGCTTCCTACCCAAGTTGCAGGCAGTTCCATGAAGAAGCTTCTCCCTCAGCTGTTGGCTACGCATACAACCTTGAGCAAAAACACTGGGAAGTTGTCTTCTCCTCAGTTAGGAAGTTTAGTGGCCATTAGCCATTAGGCAACCTGGGACCTGTGAGTGATTTAGCAAGGAATAGGACTATTCACTCTTTTTTGCTTTGTGAAGCTGAGAACTGGGGACAGGCTAGTTCTTCCCAATGTCTTCAAAGGGACCTGATGGGTCCTGAGCTTGGGAATTAGAGATGACCTTTGTGACAAGGACCCACTGGATGCCCACCCCTGCTGGAAGCTTCTTATTGGATGCTCATAGATACAGACTAAGCAGATAAAAAGCATCACCAGCAAACCCAATAGCCAGAGAGACAGCGAAGCTGCAGCTGCCACAGGAGGCAGGGCAGATGGTAGCTGTAGACAAAAATCAGCACACTAAAGTTGATTCAATTACAGAGCCGAAAACATTATGTTTTACCTTTGAAAACTTTAAGGAGATTAATTAAGAGAAAAGATATTTTGAAGCTTAGATTAGTAGAATGTAAAGTTAGAGAAAGTTCTAGAACAAGAAGAGGAATAAGATACGAATAATATAACATGTGAAATTTCTGCATTGATAAAGAGCCTATTATAAGTTTATTTAAAAAAACCCCAGCAAGTCCTAGCCAAGATTCAGCAGGCCATCCCTGTGCCAGGCTCACATTCCCTCTACCCAGAGTGCTGCACGGCTGAACCCACTCACGGACACATTGATGATGTGGACATCCTTGTAGCCCATTTCCCAGGTGGGCATTCAGAGCCACGAGTACATCTCCCCCAGTGTCACGCTGTTACTAAGTTTCATGTTTTAAAACCATGCAACTGAGGCCTAAAGCCAGGGAAGCACGTCTGTAACTTGGGGAGAGACTGAGGCAGGAGACTAGCCAAAAGTTCAAAGTGAGCCACATTCCAGGAGACTCCATCCCTCAAAGGGAAGCCTGACACAAGCACAAAATGTCTCCAGGGTTTGCATTTCTTCAGTGCTTCTTTTCATCAACAAACAAGGATGCTTCTGAATATGCAAAAACTTAGGACAAATAATGGCCTGGGTACTGTGTGGGAGGAGACTATCAAAAAGGCATCTGAACCAAAGGAGAAAAGCTTCTAAAATATGCCCAAAAGAAGCCAGGATAAAGGATGAACCTCATTGCATTAACTTAACCCTGAGCATACAATGAGTGCATGACTAGCCATGGGTTTTACAAGCAGAGACTGTCTTCAAAATGGAAGGCTATTTATTAAAGCAAGGGCAAAATGAACACCATAGCAAAGCAAAGAAAAAAAGGGGGGGAACCTCAACAAATAAAACTAGCAGTGAGTTAAAGGAGTGAATGAAAAGATATTTTTAATTAATTATTTATTACAATTTAGTCACTTTTTATCCTTACTGTAACCCTCCCCCACCCCGTGTCTCCTCCCTGTTTCACCCTCAGTCCCTCTTCTGCCCCTATATCCCTTATGTGCCTTCTTAGCATAGGAGGTGTCAGAACTCCATCATTTGATGCCACTTTTTCATAAGATAAAGAATGATTGTTAAATGAAAGTTTTCTGAGAACACACAGATATACAGCGTAGACACAGAAACCAAATGCTAAATTGTAAAGCTCCACAGAAAATCAGGGGAAACAGTGAAAGAGGGGAGCAGAGGACGGAGGAGGAAGAATGTCACTGAGGAGTAAAGGCCACACTCTGCGGCCACCCCTTGTCTTAGTCCTACCTGGGGCTGTTTAAGAAGCCAGATGGAATAAAGCTTTGGCTGTTTCAGCACTTACTTACAAAGTTCTAACTCGGGCAGAAGGCCCTCCTTATGGATTGCAGCTCACTCTGGAAACCACCATTTCAGTCAACCGCTTTCTTGACCCTGCTAGACCAACTATTTTAGACCAAGTGATAGAAATGGTGTGGAATATAGTTTTTGTTTTTGTAAACATCTTGTTTAAGAACTCAACAGGGCTAAGAGATGGCTCAGAGAATTGAGTACTTGCTGTGAAATTGGGGACCTGGATTTTGATCCCCAGCATGCTGTGGTGGAAGCCACTGGGGAGACAGAGACAAGCAGATCCTGAAAGCTCGTTGGCCAGCCAGCCGAGCAGAGTCTACTCACTCCAGGTTCAGTGAGAGACGCTGTGTCAAAATACAAGATGGAGAGAAGTCAAGGAAGATGGTACTGAACCTTGACCTATGGCCTCCACTCATGAACCTGCACACACATGTGTATATACAAGCACATGCATGTAACACACAAACACACACACACACACACACACACACACACACGCCACCACACCTCACCAAACCCACAACTTAGAAAAAAGAGAACTTCATCCAGTCCTTGATCCAGGCTCTGGGATTAGCCTCTATGGACACAAGCATGAGAACGTGACAACATGCCAGAACTACAGGTGTCCCTCCCAGATAGAGAGCTTTTAATAAAGATGCACAGACACACCCACATCTTTAAGCACGTAAGGCAAGCGGAGAATGATTACATTATGATTCTAGATCAGAACATCAACACCCATCTCTTTTGATGTGAGTCCTGCTCTCTTTCAAAACTGTGGGGACCTTGAAGACTGCAGGGGATGGAGTGACCAAATGGTGGGCCTCCCTACTCAGCCGCAGGGCTGTCTTGATCCTGAGGATGCTGCCAGGAAGCTCCCTGGCACCAGTCACCGTGGCAGAGAGTGCTTCCCAGCACTCTGCTCTCTTGTTCTTCTCCCTTCCACCAGCTCAGCCTGCCCGCAGCAACCCCAGCTGTTGCACCCTTGTCCCACACAGCCCAATCCTGCAAGTCTACTGAGTTGGTAGATACTGGCCAAGCACTCAAAGACCTGCGCTAGGAAAAGTAGGAAGCTGGGGGGAGAAGGGAGGGTGCATCGACGCTGGGTAAGCACATCTCTGTCTAGAGTAATAATCGCTCTGCGTGAGGCAGCGGCTGCCTGTTCTCAGCACACTGGCAATTCATTCACTTCTGGAAAAGTAAGGTATTGGTTGAGCAGGTTTGCCTCGGGTGCATTTGAGAAGTCGTAATCAGATATATTATACTAAGTGCTCCTGGGCCAGGAGGCGATCCGTGAAGCATCGAGTGCCAGCGAGCAGAGGCTGTACTCAGCCACCTCTAAGGAATTCACAGCTAATGCAGGTTAACCGGACAGATCTGCCAACTGCAGAATGAAGGCGCTGATGATTTTTAGACGAGCATTGAAACTGCCAAATAGAGAAAATTTTCAGCACTCTCCTCTTGTCTGTTCTCCCTTTGGGAGAGGAAACTGGATGTGGATTCTTACGCGAGGTTGGAGATAGCCCGCATTTAGAGGAGCAGATGCATTTGTTGCGTGCACCGGATGTGGACGTTATGGTTGTGTGTGTTTTAAGCGCCTCAAGCATCACTCTCAGTCATAGTGAGGCAAGGCACCTAGTGGCCTCTGCACTGTCCCCACCACACTGGTAGTCATGTGCTCAGTGTGTCTTTCTTACTGGATTGTGTGATCCCTCGCCCGATTCTTAGGAAAATGTAGATATAGGATAAACACTTTTGGCAGATTTTCTAGCTAATGTTAGAAAGTTGTGACTAACACTGTACCGCAGTTAATCAGATCAGCCATTTTCTGAGATGAAACTTTGAACCGTTAATGATTGTGTAACACGTTGGTACTTGCCGAGTTTACTTTAGTTACTGGATGCTTTGACTTGTCCCAAAATGAGCTAAGATGGAGACTTTTATATCACTGCTTCTGAATCCAGTTATAGGAATTTAATTTTGAATCCTGAAAGGAACATTTTTCCAGGAATCTTAAAGTCACTGTCCACAACACAATTTCAAAATAACTTCATATTCTCTTGAATTTTTTAAGTTTTAAAATGCTTTGATAAACTTGGAAAGTGAATTGTTTGCACAGCTGTAAATCACAGCGAGTGAGGTCATATATCTAAAATTCACTTAGTTTCTCTTCTCTCAGTTTGTTCTGTTGGATAAGTATTTAGGGAGAAGAAAAAGATTCTTGCTGATAGGTAAAATTGGATATGTGTATCTCAGGAACTGAATTCTGGGAATCATTGTTAAGAGAGAAGAAAACAGGAGTCTGGGGTAGGAGAGATGATTCACCAGTTAAGAGTACACACTGCTCTTACAGAGGACCTGAGTTCAATCTCCAGCACCAGCTGGGCAACTCACAGCCACCTATAACTCCAGCTCCAGGGAGATCTGCTGCCTCTGGCCTCTGCAGGCAGCTGCAATTACACCACACACACACACACACACACACACACACACACACACACACACACACAC